CTTCACAGCGAACGATTTTTTGTTTCCCCCCCCCCCCAATCCTCCCTGTGCTGACAGCCATTCTTTGACATTTACAAAGATCCTGATCATCCTGGGGGCAGAGTGGCTGATGTCGGCGTATGTTCAACCACTTCAAACCTCCCTGACGTGACTTACAGTCGCACAGGCCCAGACTCTAGAAATCCAATAAAAGTCAGTTTGGCGTTTAGATTTCTCAGGTAAAGGTCACATTGTTTTGTCCTGGTACTGTAGCTACAGCGTTGGAGGACAGCCGTGCGATGGGCGACCGTGTCTGTTATGCAACACGCTGCAACTCCACCATTTGTTACGCCCCGTGGTGCCAGGGGTAAAAGTTTCCTGCAGAGTAAAATGTTACCTTTGTTGATTTACTACAGTTTACAACAGAGCTTTGTGTGTGTATGTGTGTGTGTGTGTGTGTAGGTGTGAAAGCCTTAAAACTGTTAAGCGTAAAGCCTGGTGTTTTTAATGAAGAAAAATCATATCATTTCACACCAAGTCTCTCCTGATGCGCAAGGAAGCAGAAAAGTCAATCTGACATTAAATCACTGACAATGTGACATTTAGAGGCAGAGCTCCATGGCTTTGAACAACCACAGCCCGTGGAGGAATGCATGGCTGATTAGTGATGCCCAGCACCACTCACTCAAAGTCATATTTCCAGAGGAATCTGAGAACTGATGGCTGAGATGTGTGATTTTCTCCGACTCTGGGATTCATCTAAGTGGCTGGTTCCAAACAGAGAGGAACGACTCGGAGCTCAGCACAGCGTGGAGGAGGGTGGGGGCTGCTGCCTGGGGTGGATGACAGAGGCCGCCTCCACCCTCTCTGCACAGCAGGGGCAGCAGAGGCTGGCACTTTAATGTGTTACTTTGATACTGGTTATTAAGAGTGAGTCAGATGGGTGTGTAATTTTCTAGAGTGATGAAGTTGAGATTCAGGAGTTTATTTGTCAGATGCTCAGTTCTACATGTATCACCAAGGGCTCCCCCCTGTGTGTATTCAACAGTAACGCAGGTGAATTACGACGATAAATGAAAAGAAAAATCCTATAGACATAAGTCAGTGACAGAACTACACAGTCTGACAATTATATTTGACTGTTTAAAGTCAAAACAAATGTGAAATCAGCATCTTTTAATGCACACTCTGTATCCAATAACTCCACCATTCATCCACTTATGGTTCCACCAAAACAAAGTTCATACACACCATGGGAAGGTTCACGTTTCACCAAAGCACCTTGAACTTAAAATCCCGCCATCAACTCCAAGCATGTGTTTTTTTAAGGGCTTCAATCTCAGGTCAGCGGCCCGGTTTGTGTCAGACGACTAAGACTGACGGTCGGACTGACACAACAGTCAGATGGATGGAGAAAAAAAGAAGTCCGATTCGATAAAGTTTCATGAACTTCTTTCCAATCCTACACTCTATCCTTAAAATTTCTACTAACTTAGAAAAACAAATCATCAGAAGAAGTTGAAGGCACCGTTCTTTGAAAATGTTTAACACAGAAACACCTTTGCAGGTACAGGAGTCTGCATATTTACTCACGTGGAGATAAGACGTGACAGCCCGTCGAAGCTCAGTCGAGCTGGTAGACCGTCTTTGCTGCCACCCTCTGTTATCTCAGTGACATTTGGCTGGAAATGCAACATGAAAAATTACCAGTACTCGCGTTTGTGAAAGATTTAGTCGGTGAAAAAAAAAAGAAAAAAAGAAGATGCTTCCTGACAGTCTGATGATTTGATGCCTGTAAACAAGCACCATATGGTGTTTTCTTCACAGCTAAAAATACCTCGTACCCTTCAGCAAATGGTTGCATGTTAAGATAAAAGCGGTGAAACTGCTTGGATAAAGACACAGTCTGTCGAAGCCATGGCCAGAAACAATAATAACGCGCTTTAGTAAATGTGACAAAACATATGATTACGCCTCGTTCAGTTTAAACGTGTGTATTCTCTCCGACGCCGCTCTAAACGCTGCTGTTTCATGTGCTTTCAAAAGATTCCATATTCAAAGAGTCTCGAGGTCGGCTGTGAGACCGGGGTCGCATTTCCTTTCAAAGTGGATGAGATTCTGTTTATAAAACACATACAGACCAAAGCTGATGAAGAGATGGAGCTTTATCTATTTACTGTAACATATATCAATAAATTGGTGGCGCTTTGGCCACCATCATCCTGGGTAAGATCGAATCCCGGTTAGGGCGGTTGGTACCTTCCAGTGGACTCACCACCCAAAGGAAGGTTCAGGGGGCGGGGAGGTTGGTATGGTGCAGTGTGATTTGGGTGACGACTGTTGCCCCCGCGACCTGGTAACGGATCAGCAGATGAAAATGGATGAATGGATCAATAAATTGGTCTCTTGTCTGTCACTAGAAGACTCAATGTTTGTTGCCACCTACTCCCCCATATCCTAGGTTGGGTTGGATCAGGGAGGGCTGCTGGTGTAGAGAAACTATTTTGACTATTTATAAACATACCTGGTTAATTTTAAAGCTGTTAGTTCAACAAGAACGGTGGGGAGGTTATCAGAAAGGACAGCGTCAGAAAACACAGGCCGAAGCGCGGACACTTTGTGACAGGAGAACAATGTAAAGGAACTAGTTATTACTAGACACAGGCCGAAGCACGGACACACTGTGACAGGAGACAATGTAAAGGAACTAGTTATTACTAGCTACTAGTTACAAGTAATAGTGTACTGCAGTAGGACAGAATCCACCACTAGGGTCGGTTTTCTGTAAGACAACATTCTGACAGTACTAGTTTTTAAGTGTATGGTGGAAAACAAAAACCCAGAAGATGCTACTGTAATATGTGGCCTGGTACTGATCCCAGACCCAGTCGTTGGCAACCTCCGTACAAGGAACTATAAAAGCAACACATGTAGCAACCTTTATATATGATCAAATGATAAAAAGAAAAAGTCATAAATCAACACTGATCGTGGACGTCAGATGTAGAATCTGCCCTGAATAAGAACAAATATAATTGTGGAGGAAATTATTTCTGACAACATGGTACGTGATGTTGTCATGATGAGTGCATTAAATGTTGTTACGGTGCCTCACGAAATGAGGATTCTGATTTTAGTCTCTCTCTTTATCGTCTCTAAACTAAAGAAGCAGAACATCAGTCAAAGATTTCATGGCTGCTGGTGACAAAGTCCCACTGAGCTGCACATACTTCAAACAGCAGAGGAGGAGGAGGAGGAAGAAGAGGAAGAGGAGGAGGAGGTATGCAAGGACGTCCAGGAGGCTTATCATCAAATGGAAGTGAACCTAATGTAAACACTTTAGCAATTCAGCTCGAGGCGATGCCACTAAGGTGGTAAAAGGTGAGACTTGAAAGAAGAGGTGAACTCACTGGTAGAGAGGAGAAGCTTCTGCTGCTGACCTCGTTTGTTTGCTTTAGTATCTCTGCAGCCAATGGAAACTGACCAGGATGTTCAACTCCGAGAATATGATATTAGAGTTTTTCATTCCTAGTTTACAGTTACGGTAAAGATTTACAGAAATGATTTGTCTGGTCAGGAGCTGGAGCCAATAACCTGACAGCTCTGCAGTGCATTACTGCGTCACATATAGAGAAAAACAACCACAGAAGGACCAGCTGTTACAACCAGAAATTGAACTGATGACCTTCTTGCTGCAAAGGCAGGAGCACTCACCACTAGGGATGTAATAATGCATTATGAATTGGTTAAAAATCAATACAAATACGTGATGATTCGCATCAGTTTAAAATAAAAAATCTATCTCGCACGAAGCCGGAAGTAAAACCACAAATGGTCTGCAAAGGCAGGACAGGACTGGACCTCACAACAACGGTGGAGTGAGAGGGTCAGGGAGGTTTAATGAAACGAACCAAAGGACGTTCATGTTTTTAACCATTTGGCAAACAACCAATGAACTGCACCAATTCCAATATGTTTCACAGCACGTACAACGACAGAAGCCCAAATACTCAACACTGACAACACCTACACTGCGGTCAACGGAGATGAGGAGACAACATCTACAGTTGTAACTGGGTACAGTTTGAAACCAACCCCTATTGTCTGACATCTGGAGAAAAACTCTCAGCTGCATCGCCTGGTCCGACTACAACAAAATTATTTTTTTGTTTCCAAACACACTGCTGGTGTTGAAGGTTTGTTGATGGTTTCTCGCCATCGTCTTCAGACCTATTGTCACAACATTGCTTCAAGCAGAGAAAATTGTTCACTTTGACAGAGGGCTTTTGACGCCCGGATTCTCCAGGCAGGAGGATGAGGCGTGGCACGGTTTGTTTGGCCTTTTGGTGGAGCTGCGGTCGAGAGTGATGGACTCTGCTTCCATCTCCATCTAGAGAGGACACCAGCACGGTGTTAATGCAACACTTGCAGGCTCCTTTCAGTTGCGTATGAGCCGGAGATGACAAATGGGAAAGGACACACATTAGCCCCCTGCGTAGCTCACACAGTTTCTGGGCCAGTAATGGATTCACCTCTGTGTCATCATCACCTTCTATTAGGCCCAGGACAGAATCAATAGTTTTCTAAATGCAGCTGAATCATTCATCATAAAAGGCTTTGTAGCGTCCACCTCATCTACCAGCTGCTACCTCTCTGACCTGCCTCACTTGGTTTGCCTCCTTGTGAAGAATTGAATCTCCATTTGTGCAAACTCTGAAGGAAGAATGCTTAATCAAGCCGTTTATGGAGGGACCCGTCCGTCTCTGAGACCCGGGCCGTCTTAATGGAACTTAACACCAAACAGTTTCAGACATCATAAAGTGGGTGACATTCACTGACACGGGATAATCTCCGTGGAAGCCAGTGACATTTGACAAGAAATGAAAACAGAGAACCTTTGACGAAAGCTGTCAAAATATGACTTATTACAGCCGCAAAACCACATGAATATAAACCTGGAGCTCAAACGGAGGAGGGGGGGAAAAAAAAAAAAAAAAAAGAGATTGAGGTCGTTTTCTTACCGTTTCATATAAGTCGTAGTGTGACGTAGCTCTGCCTTTCACCTTGTGTCCATCCTACAGCAACCAGGCGTGGAATCGAACCTCAAACCAGGCAGGTTTTCTACAGCAAGTGACGCTCCATGCCCCCTCTGCAAAACAATAAAAAAATCTATTATTTCTGGCCAATGTAGCAGCCAATTATGGCTAATGACAAACAAAACAGGTTTAATCTCAGGCTCCTCCATTCCATCATTTCTGGCCTGTGAGTGGCGCTAGCGCACCTTAGGTTCCACTAAGAAGATAAACAGGATGTAAGAACTGCTAAGAATGTTTAGGGAGCGTTGATGGAAGACAAGATAACATTTGATCACAGGTATTTGATCAGTATGTGATAAAAACTAAAAACTAAAAATAACTGATTTTTAACAGTAATTAAATGAAAAAAATAAAATTACACAACTTAAAAAAAAAAAAATCTCCGACTAATGTTGTAAAATTTAATACTGAAATTTAAATGCTATGAACAGCTGGTGTAAATAGAAATTAATGTCAACATAAACATTTCAAATTTCCGTTCCCCTACTCAAGAGGTCAGTCTCGTTCTAAGCACCAGAGGGTGCACTTCGTGTGCTCGCTCTGTAAACCCCTGCCTTGGGCAGCACCAGCCGGGCCAGACCCTCATTCTGCCAGCATTCTTGTGGGAGGCCGGGCACTGGCTGCTCAGACGTGATTAATTGCCGCAATAAAGCTCATTATGGAGATTAAGTAGGAGTTACAGCCGCGTTATTGATCACTGTCCTTTAAATAACCTCAAAGTTGCTTGTTTGTGCATGTTGGTATGATGCTGGTCAGTGGAGAGGGCAGAGTGGAAGGCAGTGGCTGAACGCCGCTCATTAACTATGACATAAAATCAGTGCTGGATGATGTGAACAATGTCATCGGGCCGCAGTGACACGTAGCCTGAACTCTACATGTTTACTTAAACATTCTATCGTGTTTCATTGAGTAGAAAATGTTCACACTGCAGGTAAAAACGGTCCAGACCTTTTTTTTTTTACCCGTATCTGATTTTTACGAGCAGAAATCAAACGTATTCAAATCAGACTCGGGTGACGTTCATATGTTCTCCAAAATCCAATACATATCTGAAGTCTTTTTAAATGACCTGAGTCTGATCGTTTCATTGGACGTCGTCAACCAAGACAGACATCAATTTACTTAAACATTCCGTCGTTTGAACATAAATGTTTCATTGAGTAGAAAATGTTCACACTGCAGGTAAAAGCGGTCCAGACCTTATTTTTTTTTTTTACATATGTGTGACCAATATCTGATTTTTACGATCCGACTCCGGTGACGTTCATATGTTCTCCAAAATCCAATACATATCTGAAGTCTTTTTAAATGACCTGAGTCTGATCGTTTCATTGGACGTCGTCAACCAAGACAGACGTCAATTCTGTTTCCAGTGGAGGTGAAAGGAAGCACGATCGAATATAAACAACGGTCAAACAAACACGGAAAAAAAAATCTGTCGATGGAGGAGGTCAGTAGAAAGACTGTGATTGTTAGAGAGTCGCTCACACACCAGACCTTAGGAGGTCTACATCCAGGAGTGAGAAGGATCTCCGAGCCTTGACAAAGTGAACAAATCGACCGACCCAGCGCACGGCAACTTCAAAGCTGACACTGATCTACTGAGATTAGTATGTGCACCTCGTCTTCTGAGTCTGACGGACGTTTCATCACAGATATAATGCAAGCGAATCAAGCTAATAAAAAAAATTTACTTATTGAATTTAGAGCAGAGACTTCAAATGGAGGTTTTTATGTCAGAAACCATTTAGTGCGAATAAAAAAAAAAAAAAATCTTCTTCAACCTCTGTCACATAATTTTGGCCAAATCTCCCAAATTGATGAAAAAAAACAAACTAAAAAGTTCTTGGGTTGTCTGGTACCAGTTTCATTGTAATATAAGAGAATAAAATGTTTTTTTTTTTAGGCCCTGGTTCTGGCAGCTGTCATGGCTGTTTGCCCAGGAAACCTGCCCTCTGACCTGGCTGCACTGGTCCAGCCGCCCTCCAGTCCAGTGAACTGAGGCGCACATTTCTCAAGTTATCTTATTTTTTCCCACAGTTTAATGTTGTTGAGATCTTCAGTATTTTCCAGTTCTCCACATCGGCTTTAAAGACCAGCCATAAACGTATATCATTGTCTAAAAAAAAATAGTTTATGTTTTATGTGGATACACGCTACTCGGGTAAAGAAAAGAAAAAAAAAGCATTCTATTTTTCTTATCTCATGACATTTTATTTATGGTATTAAAATTGTAACCCATTGGTTTAAATATTCCTTTCTCATCCCTTGTTACTTAAATCCTGGGTGTAAATCCTTTCATCCCTTCAGCTGCTGGGATTTCCTTCCACTTTGATGATAACGCCATGAATCTCCCGGTGCAACACATGAAAGCATCTGCATCTAGTGTACATGGATCCCAAGATAACTACAAGTATGAGAGAGCCATGATGCAGACAAGGAAGCACTTTTATCCCTGCAACGTTTTTTCCTTTAACAACTGCTAAATTTTTAAATGCATTGTAAAAGTTTGTGAGCAGGATATAAAAATATTAAACTCTGCCGTAATTACATTGAAGGGGATACTTAAGCTGGTGGCGCTCACCAAGGTCAGCGCTCGTGTTTTACTGAGGCTGGAAAAGTCATCAGCTAAATGGCTGTGGTTAAGTAATGTGTGGCATTAAAATCCAAGACCCACAACTAGGTTTCTGAATGGAGACACACCTGGCAGCCTGTCGTTAAACCTAAGTCAGCATTTATCTGCCAAGGACAACAGTGGACAGATTAAGATCACATCTGATAGGAACCAATGAACCCATTAGAAAGATGAGATAAACTGAGACAAGGACAGCGATTCCTTCTTTTTTTTTTTCTTCTCTTGTGCAGTGAAAATAATATTCTGAGGCATTTCACTTTACACTATTATATTATATTACTTCTCCAACCACCGGCCCGTGGACCGGTGCCAGGCCGTAGGTCGTGTAGAACTGGACAGCAGAGAGAAAAAATAAATAAATGAATAATGTAAAGAAAATACAGAGACACTGAAATATTGCCATATTTTTGTTTTCACGTTATTAAAATAATAATGTACGGCACTGTTAATTAACAATTAATAGTCAATCTTTCATAGCATTTAATTACAAACTCAGAACATACAACAACAACGAGAAGAAGGAAACAAAAACGAGACACTCTACAACAGATGGCGCTAGCATATTTACAAACGTAAATGTTCTATATCACCAAGCTAACAGCGGACAACAAGCTCAACGTCTCTCTCACAAACTCCGCTGCATTTTTCAAAGTGCTGAAAGAGAGAGAAGTTCTTCTGCTTCCTAAGCACTTGGTCCAGTCGCCATGAGGAAGAGCAGCTTCCAAGCCGACCGCTGGTCATTGACTCCCTGTGGAGCCTGGCTTTGGTGGAAGTGATTTTTTTCCCCCCTAATCAGCATCCAGCTCCTGCAGTTAAAGAAAGGTTATCCAGGAGTGGCCGTTAAAGCCCACTGAAGCTGAGAGAGACAGAACTCTCCTCCGTGATAAACAGCTGATCCTGAATGAAGCGCTCATACACCGTTAGTGGATCTGGTTTTCATCAATGAACTGTCAATAAATCTGCAGTTATTTTGACTATTGCTGAGCTTGGATCTGGATATGGGAACAGCCATGTCAATATAAAAGTATTTAAAAAAAAAAAAAAACCAAAACAACAAAGGTCAGAGGAGATGGAAGAGCAGCCTTCATCTGATTTAAATATCAACCACGTCATGTGTTTGTCAGAACATTATTCTACATTGAAACAAATCTAAAGCACAAAACTAAAGGTCAAGGACCTTTGACCTCACTCACCGCATTAGCTCTACTAAGAAAACAATACGTAAAAGAGATGGAGAAACAAACACTGTGGTCCTGACATGACATTTGCCTCATATCTCCAACTGAACCCAAAGGACAAAAAGACCAAAAATATGGCGTGATACTGGGGTTTTTTTCTTTTCAGGAGTCTTTTCTATCAGGGTAATAATGCTGGGCTGCACATCCGACGTCCAGCACTGATTGGTTCTGCTTTAAACACTTCAGTTGATGAGAGAAGGGCAGCGTGCACGTCCGTATGGCTTATCAGGGTCGGACAGAACAGGGTTCGTTTTTTTTTTTTTTTTTGGCCTCATTGTTTTTTTTAAACAATGGTTTCACCTCAAAGACACAATTGGAGCAAATGCATCACATGGCAACAATGCTGGAGGCTAGCTGAGGGTAACATTACAGCTCCCAGGTGCTGGAAGTCTGGGAGTCTACAGAGCAGGATAGTGAACTGGCCAATGAAACCAAAACTAAAGACGAACAGGAATCTGCAGAGAGAACGCAGGGAGGAAAATAATATAATACCAACACAAACAAAACAAGAGATTCTTTTTTTTCAGGAATCAAAAGAAAACTGCTGATTTAGTTTAAGTTAAGATTCCAATCAAAAACATTTTTTTATTTGGGGCAGCTCCAGGGATGGATCTCTGAAGTCGGGAAGGACGACAGAAGCGAAGCAGCCTCCGTGATTAGAGGGGAAACGTGTTTAACCAAACTTCAAATTCAGTTGATACTGACTAACACAGGCTGGAGAATCTGCCTGGATCTGACAGTTAAACGAACAGGGATAAACAGATTCAGTGAGACGGCAATTCTGCATCATTTCATCTGAGTTCTGAGCTTTAATGGTTCCTGTTGCAGTTACTGGCAAAAATCCCACATCACAAAAACCAAGATGCTTTTTTTTTTTCTCCAATCAGAAACCTGCTCCTGCAGCAGCAGCACAAACATCACCCAGAAATATTTTGGTTCAGAATGAAAAACTCCCACCATGTGCCTTATCCACATTAACTCTACTTTGATCCTGTCTTGGCTTGGATTTTTTTTTTTTTTTTTTAAGTGGGTGTTTTACCGAGCATGCAAATGTGAATTTCTCATCCTCAAATGAGACATTTTGAAAACACCAATTGAGTGTTTGCATCTCTGGCCTCATTTAGCTACTAAAGCAAAATAAATCCCACATTTTAAAAACTAATAATAACAATAATATC